GCCGCGGGGAGCGCAGCGCGCGGAGGGGCGCCCCCTGCCGGCCGGAGCGCGGCGCGCGGTCTGCGCCACCGGCGCCTCGCGAAGGTTCGCGGCGCCCGGGTAGCGCCGCTCGCCAATGGCCGCCGCGCCGAGCCCCGCCGGAGAGAGCCCAGCCGCCCGCGCTTTGGAAGCTTGCCTGCTCTCACCTCTCGGGAGCCGATGTGGACGGGCTAGTGCGACCTTCCCCGCGCCCTGCTGTTTATTATTTTATTTTTTAGCTTTGCTTCGCTCAAGGACCTTCCTCCCCCCTCCTCCCATTATCATTTTTTCCTTCCGGCGTGTCGATTTACCCTGTCGGCTGGTATTGTGTGAAATCAGAGACCACAACTTTTAATTTTTCCCTTTCAGAAGCCTATCCTTCGAGAGACAAAGCCCTAAGCCCACGAAACAGTAAATAATGAGACTGTCACAAGGCAGTTAGTTTCCAGGTAAGATAAGTGTAAGGAACAGTTGTTAACTGAATGCTTTGCGACTCACACAAGCTGTGATTCCTCACCATTCCCACTGAGGTTGGCTGGGTATAATATCAAAATGAGCGTGTATTAAGCTTTACTCAAGGAATTTTCACTTTTGTTGAAATGAGTCAGGAATGTTAGAGCCAAAGGAGATTTTCACTGTAAGGGGGCACAATCTTTTAAAAAGAAAAACGAATCTGAGTTAGTAAACTATTAAGAAGTAAGAAAGGCCAGAAGATCCTTAAAGAAAAAGTGAGGCTGATGTTGAGTAAATATTTGTGGGCCCAATGAATAAGAGACGGTGGATGAGAAGGGTTTTCCCAAAGCACCCTCTTGCATGACCTACTTAATATAAACAACCGATGTTTCTGCTGAATTACTTGACATTTTATATATTCTCTGAAGTTCGTGTAAACAATATTTGGTTAAATCTTAGTGCTTGTATTTCCTTAAACTATCAGTTCTCTTTTTTAGGGTCTTTTAAATCTGTTTAGCCTCCAGGTAGTGGTGCATCCCTTTAATCCCAGCACTTGGGAGAGAGAGGCAGGTGGATCTCTGTGAATCCAACACATTCCTGGTCTACATAGTGAGTTCCAGGACAGCCAGAGTTAGTAGAGAGACTCTGTCTCAAAACAAACAAACAAAAACAAAATATGTGTATGTGTGTTTGTCTTCATGAGTTTACTGGCACAGTATGTGTACAGGGGCCCCCGGAGGCCAGAGGAGGGCATCAGATCCTCCTTTGGGTAGGTGTGCCGAGTTAATAAGAGAAGGTATGCGGAGTTCTTAGCTCAGTACTTGGCTAATGCTCAGTAAGTGAGAATTATTATTTGTGGTCCTGGGGGATGAAAACTTACACAGGCGCTCCAACAGTGAGCTCCGTTGCTAGCCCTGGAACCTTTGTTAGCCTGTTCTACTTTCTCCTGTTACCTACCACCTAGCTCCCACAGGTTGACAGAATATGAATGCACAGCAGGCAGCACACGTTTGAGATTTACATATGTAAGCTTATATATGCTTAGCAATGAGCAGTTAAGTCTTTCGTTAAAAAATCCCCGAAAGCCTGATCAAAGCCTAGACCCTTTTGAAAATACACGTGGCGGCACACGCCTAGGATTCCAACACAGCAGACTGAAGCCAGGAGGATCAGGAATTCAGTGTAAGCCTGGGCTACAGAACGAGAAATCTATTTCAAAACGAACAACCCAGTGGAAAGGGTGGGGGGACCCGAGTGCTTTGTCATTTTAAACACTTTACTATTCCATATTACAGGTAATTTAAATTCTTCAGTGTATTTGCGCGTGATTGATATGCATTTTGTGCCTTGCACATTTTACTTAATGATACCATTGCTGTGCCACAGCTTCGTGGTGAAATGTGATCTCAATGCTAAGGGAAGGAGTACAAACCAGAAGAACTGGGTTGCACAGTCATTGTGAGTCTTCACTTTTGCTTCCAGAAGAGTGTGTGCTTGCTTGCCGGGCCTCCTCCTTTAGATACACTGTAACCTTTGTCTTCAGGTGCCTTAACACTCTCCTGCAAGAGCTGTGTAAATAGGTGGAGTCGCCAACACCAAGTGCTTTTCAATTGTTGCTTTTCGTTTCCCTTGACATTTGTCCAGCCTGATAGTGTTGTTTATGCTTTCCTTTCAACCCCATTTCTCTCCACCTGTGACAGTCGCTACCGATGCATACAACCACGGAACACTTCTGAAAGCCTAACAAACTCACCAATTCTACGTATTTAGATCAAAGGAGACAAGAAAAAAATGTCAAGGTGAATTCTTGCTGTAGAAAGAGATAACATTTTCATCCCCAGTTTTTTGTTGGTTGTTTTTGTTTTGGGGTTTTGGTTTGTTTGACTGGTTGATTGTTTTGTTTTGCTATCTTTGAAAACAAACAGCATCTGAGATTTAAAATAATTTTTGTGGCGTTAATGTAAGAAATACTAAATAGGACTCTTTTCTTTTAACTTGCAAACATTTTAATCCTTCTCACCCAGGAAAACCACTGCTCTATTCTAGGAAAATGACGGCCTAGAGCAGTGACCCTTTTCTGTTTGAAGTAGTGACACCCTTGGCTCTCTCCAATTCCTATGTGCCAGCTCTTTCCAAACTAGCCCATTAAGACAGTGAGTTCTGACCACAGCTTGTGGGGAGACACACACAGTCACCACCTTCCTGAGAATAAAAACCAGGTGCCCTTCTTGTCCAGGTGTGTTCTCTTTCCCCAAGCACACCTCTTCTTCAAGAGTAAAGATTTGTCCAGACACTTCAGTTGGAACCATGATCTTCCTCCCTCCCTCCTTTCCTCCCCCTCTCTCACTCCCTCATCTTTCATTCTCTCTCAGTGACCTCAAACTTATTTCTAGCATTAGGAGGCTACCTGAAGTATGTTTCTTATAAGGTAAATGTGGAAGCCTGCCATATTGAAGTCTGCTTCAAGATATAACTGCAGCCATTTCAGCTTCCATTTTGTTCCTAAGGTGAAATTAAGTTCATAATTTTAAACTTTTCAACTCTGCTTCCTGGAAGTGTTTGTTCATAGCTGGCATACCTCACTTAGGATCAATCAGCTTAAAGGCTAGCTGATCATAATTTGTCTAGTTAGCCAAAAACGTAATATTGCTTTGTATGATTAGCCAAAATGTGTTATTGCCCTTCCCATGTCTTTTGCATCTGGTTCTTTCTCTTCTATTTATTTATTGTTTATTTATTATGTATACAATCTTTTGTCTATATGTACACGTGCACTCTGGAAGAGGGCATCATATCTCATTATAGATGATTGTGAGCCACCATGTGGTTGCTAGGAATTGAACTCGGGACCTTGGGAAGAGCAGTCAGTGCTCTTGACCTCTGAGGCATCTCTTCAGCACCCTGGTTCTTTCTATAGAAACCCTGCTGTAAGACCTTGTCAATGTCTGAGTTAGGCTCCCAAGTTCCTTTCTTTGTCCCTGGGGTGCTCAGTCTTGGGGTGTTGAGTTCAATATTCAGTAAACTATCCATATCTAACTGAGACCATAGTCTAAGTGGTTTGTGTTGCAGCCTGATAACTTGAAGTTTGGTTCGAGACATAACTGCAGCCATTAAACTTCCATTTTGTTTCTAAGGTGAAATTAAGTTCAAAATGTTAAACTTTTCAACTCTGCTTCCTGGAAGTGGTTGTTCATAGCTGCCACTAGCAGACGCTGCCAGAGGGTCAAGCTGACCTTATAATTTACTGTGATTCAGAAAGTCATAACTCATGCGTTATTATCTCTTCACTTAGATGTTTTATTATCTGTTCACACTATGCACCCTTCTTATCTATACACCTGGCTGTGCTTTGTATGTACTCCAGAAGACCCTAAGCCCTGCCTCACTTACCTCACTTAGGACAAATCAGCTTAAAGGTTAGTTAATAATACTTTGTCTGGTTAGCCAAAATCGTAATGGTTGCTTTGTATGTTTAGCCAAAATGTGTTACTGCTGCCTTCCCCATGTCTTTTGTTTGTTTTTTGAGACAGGGTTTCTCTGTGTAGCCTTGGCTGTCCTGGACTCACTCTGAACACCAGGCTGGCCTCAAACCTAGAGATCCGCCTGTATCTGCCTCCGAGTGCTGGGATTAAAGGCATGTACCCACCTCCTAGATTCCCATGTCTTTTGCACTGGTCCTTTCTATAGAAACCCTGTTGTGTGAATGTCACAGTTACGCTCCAGAGTTCCTTTCTGTGTCCCAGGTCTGACCAGTCTTGGGGTGTTGTGTTCAGTATTCAATAAATCATCCATATCTAACTGAGACCAAAGTCTTAGTGGCTTGTGCAGCTATTCTTAGACTAGAACAGTAACATGGATTGAAATTCTCAACTGTTAATTCCCTCAATTACCAAAGTTTTGTTTCCATGCTCAGGACTCTCTAAGTGAAACCATCCTAAGCATGTGGTCTGTGACAGAGCGAGTTAAGTGCCAAGCAATTGGTTAGGACTAAAGACAGAGAGAGGCACCTTCCTTGAGCAGCTGTACCTCATCAGGGTGAACAAAAGTATGGCAAACAGAGGTCCTTTACCAAAAGGAGGCTTTAGGTTTGGTGTCTGAGGCACTGGGTTTC